GGGGGGGGGGGGGGGGGGTATGAGTAAGCAATTCAACTTCTGTTTCGTTCTGCCCAGAGAAACACAGTGACACGATAACAGTCATTTTGTGCTGTGAAAAGGCTAGACTTAGACGGATACAGAAAAACAACTACGATAGAAAACAACAATGATAGAACAGAAACAGGAATGCCAGTGGCACTCTGAAAAAATATCGTGCAATTTGATAACTTCTATCAATCAAAATCAGATTCTGAATACATACATTATACACAAACGTACACAAGCACATACACACACACACACACACACACACACACACACACACACACACACACACACATACACTCACACACACGCACACACACACACACACACACACACACACACACAAACACATCTATCTCTCTCCTTTCCCCTCTCTCCTTTTTACTCTCTCTCTCTCTCTCTCTCTCTCTCTCTCTCTCTCTCTCTCTTTCTCTCTCTCCCTTCCCAACGTGTTTTGTGTACAACTGTGAAGTGCCTAATGCCTAGTACACCCTGTCACTCATTATTGCGTCGGGATCTTACATATTTCCCTCCAAGAAGGGACACAAGCCATCATTTTGGCACAATACGTCCGATTCGACTCGCGACCTTGAAAAACAGACGCGTTTGATTTTGAAGGTTAGAATGGAATTTTGTCGAATTCGGTTGAACTGGGCTAAAATGTTTCCTTTTTTGCCCCCCCCCCCTCCCCCCCTCCCCTCTTCCTCCCCTTGGAGGAAAATCTGGCATAACATCACTAGATGCGATTGGCAGTTTGCACTGGGTTTTGTTTGTTTGTTTGTTTGTTTGTTTGTTTGTTTTGTGTGCTTTTTTGTTTGATTTTGTTATTTTTCTTCTCTGGGTTTGAAGAAGTTTATACCTGTAGCGTTGAATTTTCCTGAACACGCTCTGGGTTTGAGGTATTACGTGTGTACTTGGCTAAAAGATAAGAAAAATCTTCCAGTGGTTGTCAAATACGTTATATAAATATTTATAGAACTTTGACCTCTCTGGTTTTGAGATATCACATGGGTTTAGCTAGTAGTTAAGATGGCCTGAACGTTGTCAGGTACGTTATAAAAGTTAATTTGACTTCTGCAGTCCTTCTGGTCTTTTTCTTTTTCTTTTTCTTTTTCTTTTTTTTTGGGGGGGGGGAGGGGCTTATTTTGGTTTTGAGTTTTCCTATACACACTTTGGGTTTGAGATTGTAATTGGGACCCTAGTTCGTCACGTCACATTACATCTACTGTCTCCACTCCCTCTCCGATAAGTTGGAATGTGTCAAAAAGGGGGGGGAGGGTGAGGGGGGGCGTAGGAACGGTGGCTTGAAGAAGGGGGGGGGGGACTTGCTATCTTTGAGGGAGGGGTACAGAAGGGGGGAAAAGGGGGAGGGGTTGGGCAGACGTCCTATCTTTCCCGAGTCCGGCAGACGTGGGGAACATTCAACTACAGAGAGTAGTAAAGTAATATTAGTAATAATGGTAATAAATAACATTTATGCTGCGCATTTCCCTTTTCTAAAACCTGCTCAATGTGCATTACATAAAAAAGACATCATATCTTAAAAATTAATCGACATTGTACGTAAAAAACAGTATATAATTATGCATATATGTACAAAAACATTCGATGAGAAAAACCGTCTGGCAGTGGTGGTGTCAGTCCACTTTACGGCCTACCGTGGTGTCAGTCCACTTTACGGCCTACCGTGGTGTCAGTCCACTTTACGGCCTACCGTGGTGTCAGTCCACTTTACGGCCTACCGTGGTGTCAGTCCACTTTACGGCCTACCGCGGTGTCAGTCCACTTTACGGCCTACCGTGGTGTCAGTCCACTTTACGGTCTACCGTGGTGTCAGTCCACTTTACGGCCTACCGTGGTGTCAGTCCACTTTACGGTCTACCGTGGTGTCAGTCCACTTTACGGTCTACCGTGGTGTCAGTCCACTTTACGGTTTACCGTGGTGTCAGTCCACTTTACGGTCTACCGTGGTGTCAGTCCACTTTACGGTCTACCGTGGTGTCAGTCCACTTTACGGCCTACCGTGGTGTCAGTCCACTTTACGGTCTACCGTGGTGTCAGTCCACTTTACGGCCTACCGTGGTGTCAGTCCACTTTACGGTCTACCGCGGTGTCAGTCCACTTTACGGCCTACCGTGGTGTCAGTCCACTTTACGGTCTACCGTGGTGTCAGTCCACTTTACGGTTTACCGTGGTGTCAGTCCACTTTACGGTCTACCGTGGTGTCAGTCCACTTTACGGTCTACCGTGGTGTCAGTCCACTTTACGGTCTACCGTGGTGTCAGTCCACTTTACGGCCTACCGTGGTGTCAGTCCACTTTACGGTCTACCGTGGTGTCAGTCCACTTTACGGCCTACCGTGGTGTCAGTCCACTTTACGGTCTACCGCGGTGTCAGTCCACTTTACGGCCTACCGTGGTGTCAGTCCACTTTACGGTCTACCGTGGTGTCAGTCCACTTTACGGTTTACCGTGGTGTCAGTCCACTTTACGGTCTACCGTGGTGTCAGTCCACTTTACGGCCTACCGCGGTGTCAGTCCACTTTACGGTCTACCGTGGTGTCAGTCCACTTTACGGTCTACCGTGGTGTCAGTCCACTTTACGGCCTACCGCGGTGTTTTTGTTCTGTTCTGCTTCGGGGTCACCACTGGACCGCCTGACAACTGTTTCACTTGATAGTCTACCACCGGACCATCCTGATAATCTATTGTTTCAGTTAACGAGCTACTAGTCCGCTACAATAAAACAACCATGTCTCTAAAATTGACCTAAACCTTGCCCCCCCCCCCCCCCCCCCCCCCCCCCGGGGGGGGGGGGGGGCCGGCACCTTTGCTTGTGAGCAGATTCACCATCGCGATTGATTTCTTCTTATTTTCTGGTCTTTTTCTCGAGCGGGGAATTTATCACAGATGTAACACAGAAGGTATGCATAAAATGATGAAGACTAAGGGAAATATATTAGATGAGATAAACTTCACATTCTTGTCTTGGATAATTTGTGAGCTTTATTTACATCCAAGTGCG